ATAGGACTCTCTCTCCCTCCCTCTCTCCTCCTCTCCCTCTCTCCTCTGCTGATATCAACTTTCATTGGTACTTCACTAGATACAGCAACTTGTTCATCTTCTTCTTCTTGTATGACAGTATCATCATCTACCAGTGATAGCTCCTGCATGCATGAACACACGCATGCACGCATAATTAATGAGATACAGATACTTATACCATGTGAACTGCAGTATGTAGTGACCAGTGTGTGTGTGTGTGTGTCTGGAGGTGAGTATCAGTAATGTAATACCTGAGTCCCTTGATATCTGCCCTCAGCTTCACCTCAAGCAGATATCTCAGTCCTCAGGTATTACATTACTAATACACACACACCTCCTCCAGAGGGGCTGCAGGTACTTATATTGCTGCTCTTACTTCAACTGATGGTATGGTCTGTAGATCCTCTGATAAGTAGCTGATCTGAGATGAAGGTCTAGTGTATCCAGTGGTACGTGTCTCAGGGCTAGGGCTCCTAATGATCATTGAACTGTAGCACTCATGGGGATCTGTATAGTAGGAGTAAAGGAGAGGGTTTAGTATTTAGTATATCTAATTATGTGGACTGTGGATTATAGTACTGTGGTTTTGCATTGTGGTTTTGCAAGTTTAAAACTACTGTATTCAATAATTTAAATGACATTATTTATTTATGTGCCACTTTATTTTAGTACTTTAAACTAAACCATCACACACACAATTAAAACTAAACATAACAAGCACAAGTATTCTAATTATATAGTTTAAAAGAAGAAATAATTTCTTCTCCTAGTTATTAGGATATTGCGGTGCTATTGAAGTTATGTTGAGTGTATTCTCAGTACACATACCAGTGACTGTATCAGTATATAATTAACTAATAATGATCATTAACAATATAAAAGAAATAATTAATAACTAATAAACAACAAGACGACTATTATTATAATCACAAACATACAATAATCCATCTTTATTAAATGCTAATCCATAAGGACTTTTAAACTGATCAATATTACTGCCTTCACTTCCAAACTTCCTAACAAACACACCATCACTAGTGAAGACTGATATACAATTATTGCCCCATTCACTAACATACACTAGACCAGTAGCTGCAGTGTCTATTGTTATACCATTTGGCCAGTTAAGCTGTCCAGGACCAGATCCTTTAGTACCAAACTGACCCACAAACTTACCATCCGGAGAGAACTTATGAATCCGATCATTATTCTTATCAGCAACATACACTAATCCTTGACTGTCAATAGCAATGTCACGTGGAGACTGAAACTGTCCATTAGCTGATCCTTTACTACCAAATGAATGAGAGAAGGTTAGATCAGGATTCAAGACTTGTATACGATGATTATTAGTATCAGCAATATAAACCTGTCCTGTTATAGGAGAAACGGCTATACCATGAGGAGTATTAAATTGTAGTGGTCCACTGCCCTTCTCACCAACTGATGCTACAAGGTATCCATCCATGCTTATCTTCTGGATCCTATTGCTATCATCAGATACAAGAAGGAATTTGTCTGGAGTAAAGGTTACACCACGAGAATAATAAAACTTGACATTACCACTTCCTCCTTCCCCTCCTAATGATTTAACTTTCTTTCCTTCTCTATCCAGTATTGTTACACAGTGACCATACGCCTCAGTTATCATAACATGATTATCATCAGTTAAAGCAACTCCACAGGGATAATTAAGCTCAGTTATAGTACGTACTGGAGTGATGTTATCAAGGTAAGGATTGATAGGGATGACTAGTGAGGTATCCTCAAGGTGTACATCATATACTTGTACTTTTACTGTATGAGTACCACTGGTTGAAGGGTTACACTGTATCCTATACACTCCAGGATCAGTGCTGGTGGTAGTGACTGTAGTGTCAACGGGTTGATCACCTTTACCAACTGGTACTAGACTACACCTCAGAGAAGAGACAGGAACAGTCAAAACAGATGAATCTGGTGCCTCCATTGATACTGAAAACGAAACTGCTTTGCCAGCAGGTGTAATACCATCAATCTTCTTCACTCTACACTGCTGCAGTGCAGTAGATGAGTAGGTCACAATATCTCCAATGTGATGTAGTGATTTGATATCTTTACTCAATACAAAGTCGGCTTTTTCCTTTGGATGTAACTCCTCCACATTCATCCCTCCAGTAACTTCACTCATACGCTCCATC